GTACCTATATATTTTAACTTGATTTCTTTTTAATTCCAGGCAAAAGAATCTGATGGGTCATTTGAGTCAGAGGTCTCACTTTCCTGGAGTAATCAGTTTCTGCCAAGGAATCAAAGCAAACAGAAGAGTGGGGCCCAAAGAAGGGGCATCAGTCTGTGTGTGGCTGCCACCCACGTAGCAGCACTACTTACTGTGTGGTGTTAGGCTCTGTGTTCACAACCATTCCATCTTTTTCTATATTTCATCACGAGTGATCTTTTCATATATATTTTTAAGGGTTGGGAATCTAACCTGGGACCTTGCACATGCTAAACAAGCACTCTACTGCTGAGCTACAGCCTCAGCTTTATGTGGAATTTTTATTCTTTAAAAGTTAAGGGAGATTTTAATTATCTGATCAGATAAAAATGATAATAAAGAACCAGATGTGGTGGTGCAGCCTGTAATCCCAGCTCTGGGGAGGCTAAGGCAGGAGGATCACCATGAGTCTGAGGCCATCCTGGGCTACATAATGAGTTCAAGGCCAGCCTGAATTGCATAGCAAGACCTTGTCTCAAAAGGTAAAATGAAATAAAGAAAGGCCTGGTGTACTGCTCAGGGGTAGAGCATTTGCCTAGCATGTTTGAGGCCTGAGGTTTAATCTCCAGCACTGCAAAACGAAGACAATAATGAACAAAATACAAGGGGAGGCTGGATTTGGCCGGTTCATGCCATACTGCACTGAATATATTTAATTTTTCAATTGAAATATCATGCCAAACCCCATTAGAATGTAAAATTAATACATGTTAATCAAAATAAAATAAAACCCAGGCCCTAGTTCCCTATGTAAGATAATAACTATACCATATGAACAAGAGTCTTCCAGACAGAATGATTACAATGTTAAACAAACTGGATACATTATGTAAATGTGTGAGGTCTTGTTTCTGGTCACCTCTTCAGAGAAGCTGCTTACCTGCTACCCTACACTCATCGGAGCCTGGTGGGAAGGGTATCTGAGCAAGCTCGTGGGGTGGTACAGTGATGGTTTGTCTTCTGCGGGCTGCTTTAGGTCTGAGACCTGACAAATGATTATGAATTATACACTGAGTTCTCTGTGGAGTCAATGAACGATAACTCACCCAGCACACTCTTTTGGATTCCTCTTTGTCCCTCAGGCCTGCTAATGTCTAAATACCTGCCTAACATTCCCCTCCAACAGTTTAGACCCTAAAATCATTTAGGGTATTGGGGTGCTGTGTCACTCTGGCTATTTCCTACTGAGTGAGGGTGTTGCTGTTGCAGGGAAGGAGTTAGGGTCCCTTCCCTTGCTAACTCCGATGGGTGGCTGAGGCATCAATATAGATAGTTGGGTCAGAAGTGTGCAGGACCATCTAAACATGGATTGACTATTAATGAGAAGAAATGAAGTTCAGGAGAAAATTTATTATAGACGATCCAAATTGGAACCAAGACTAAAATGGTTATGAACCTTTTCCATCAGGTTGATCCAGAAAGCCAAGACCATAACATTTCCCCAAAGCTAGGATTGGAACCTGGTGTAGCCTGGGATCATTGTTTTAGGTCCTGCAAGGCAGGTCCAGGACAAAAAAGTCCATCTGAAATATAGTTAAATAAGGGGGATGGCAATTGAGCACCCTATAACCACTTTTATGGGGCATCTTATAGGCACCAGCAGGTGAGCCCATATGCCCTGCAGGCACAGATGAGAGAAAGCAATTACAATAAATGTTCTGATTAGAATACCCAAAGTGCACAGCCCTCTGATGGATGTGCAGGCGGGGATGGTGAGGCATTTACAGGTATTTAACTGATGTCTGCTCGAACAAGTATTTCAGTCTCTCAAAGGTTGGCTTTCCCAAGATAGTGGGGTCTCTGGAGGGGCTCTTCCTTCCAAAGTTTGACTTGGGAATGACAGATCCGGCTGACAATTCCTGGAACTTTGCTAGCTGTTGCAGAGTACTTAGAAGGTCCTTCCAAAGAAGTTAACTGACCATGCAGGTCCTCCCTGTAGGTTTTCATGAGCACTAATGCTCCAGGTTGCTGGAGAGGCCTTTCAGACTCTTGGGACACTAGTAGCAATACCTGTAAAGCATATTGTCCTGCTGCCTACTGGAAAATATTTAGTGTAGATGTGCACTAGCCTGGGGCTTGAGCCGCTACTAAAACAGAAGCAGCCATTGCCCTGACGCATCCAGGCTGTCCCTGGGCTACTGTGTCCACCACCTTGATAAATGTCCTAGTCCTTTGAACAGGCCCTAAGGCCTGGCTAAGGATCCTGAAGCCACACCTATAACCTGAAAGGTAGTCCAAAACAGGGCCTTGAGGAGAGAGGATTTTTATCATAGGCCTGCTGTTGTTCCTACTCCCAGGAAAGGGGAATTTGATGATTATTTCATTTTAGGGACTCATACATGTTCAGCCATTAGGCTACACCCAGGGTTCCATAGCCAACAGTAGCCTGTTAATCCTCGGAAAGCATAAAGCTGTTTTCTGGCGTAAGGCTTGAAAGGGCTTGGTGGCCTGTATACATTCTGCTGAAAGTGCTTGATGCCCTGGGATTAAAATAACCCTAAGTAGTGGACTCTTTGGGCCATCACTGGGCCCTAGGCTTTGAGATTCAACATCTCCTGCCAACCAGGAAGTTTAAACTCTGAACCAGATGAACTCAGGCCTTTGTTAGAGAAGGGGAACACAAAAGATCATCCATATATCGTACAATGGCCCCATTCATTAAAGTTAGGTCACCTAAGTCCCTGGCGAATGCCTGTCCAAAAATAGAGGGGTGGTCCCTGAACGCTTGGGGAAAGACAGTCTAGGTAAGCCATCTGCTCCAATCTAGCTCGTCAGTTCACTCAAAGGGACTCAGGTGCTACCAGAATGTAAAATATCTTTAAGATCTAGCACCATACACCATTGGGTATTTGAAGGTACTGGCCCAGCAAGGGGGGCGGGGGACTTCTGGATGTATAGGAATAATTGCCTCATTTATAGCACAGAGATCTTGCCCTAAATAGCAATCACCATTGGGCTTCTTGACAGCTAAAACAGGGGTATTACAAAGTGAAGAATCACTAAAAGCCCATAGTGAAGGAGCTTATTTATCAGAGGCTGCAGCCCTGTTTGGGTTTCAAGTGGAAGAAAATACTGTTTCCAGTGTGGGAAGGGATGAGAATCCTTTAACTTAAGGATTCACTGCTGGGATGGAAGGGATAGCCCTCCCAGATGCGTAGGTGCTCACACCAGAAATTTAACAGGAAGGATCAAGTCATTGTTGACATTTCTGGGACAGGCAATCCTTGTCCTAACTGTGGGGCTGTCAGGTGAGCAAAAAATAATTCGAGTTCCCACCTTTGTTAATAAGTCTCAGCCCAGGAAAAGGACAAAACATCCAGGCATTGCCAAAAAGCATGAGTAAGGAAAAAAGTATTCCATAAGCAACATACAGAAAGAGTAAACCATTTGGTCACCAAAGTCCCACTGATGCTCATAACCTGACAGGTCGGAGGCCACCTGTCTGGGATAGAAGGTAAGAACAGAGTAAGAGGCCCCAGACAGAGATTTAGCTCAGTGGTGCCATAACTCCCTGGCAAGTGCAAAGTCCCGAGTTCGATTCCTGCTACCAGAAAATAAGAGGCCCCACTGTCAAGGAGGAAGTTTGTAGTCTCACCTGCAACGTCCAGTGTTACACAAGACTCTGTCCGATTGATGGTGATGATGGGCTGGGAAACAACTGGAGCTTCCTCATTTCAGGTACAAAAACTGGGGATCTGGACCAGGGATCCTTCACGTCCCAGGACAGTAAGTCCTCTCCTGTCCTGTTTTGGTCACATTTAGGGCAAGGTGACTTAGGAAATTGGCAGCCATTAGGGAGGTGTCTCTCCCAGTGGCCTGTCAGCAGGTGGGATAGGGAAACCCACTGGGTAACATTTGGTAATTCAGTGGGAAGCACCACATGATTCTGTCTGCCATTCTCATTTAATCTTAGCCTCCTTTTCCCTATTCCTCCTCTATGTCCACGTCATCAATGGGAATTTGAGTCCCAGAGACAACTGCAACTCCTTTCCAATGTCTGGAGCTGAGACCATCTTAAAGGAGTGAACGCTACCTCTACCTTACAGGCCCGGGACAGGCACAGTGCGCCTTCCCAAGGCTTCTCTAAGTTGCTTTTCACTTGAACCCTGATATATGGGAGCCAATTCAGCACGGTTTCTGGTTCGACTTTACTTCTAGCCCTTCCAGGATGGAGAATATAAAACATCTGCATTTCCACATCTCATCAGGGGTGCTCTCAGGCCCATTCCTGTCTAACTGCCGGCCTCATGTCTGTGCATGCATAACCTGAATTAGAGAAAAAAATTTCAACAAACCATAAGAATTTTTAAACACGTACAATGAAATAAACACATTCATTTCAGCATAGAGTTAGTGGTTTCCAAGCCCTGGGACTCCGGGATGAAGAGGCTCTCTGCATCCCTCACTCACGCAGCTCGGACACACAAGCCACTCTGCCCTGGTCTGGAGAACAAATTACAGGCACTGTTAATCCACCAAGGCACTGAGTCCTGGATGCGACTCACACACGACTCTCTTCCCCCTTTCACGAGTTGAAAATGGTCTTGTTTGCCCGATTTGTAGGGCTCTTTTACAGAAAGACATGCTTGTCTCAAACCTGAACTAAGCAGAGGATTATTCAAAGAAATTCTTTATCGTGTACAGTTAGAATCGAGGAAATTACCCCACATTGAGAGCCCGCTGAGGAAGCAGAGGAGGCATGTTAGCTATAAGCACAGCTTGAGCAGCCTCAGGAACATCTCTGTTCAGGTCTGTGGGACTGGGAGGAGGGCCTTGGGGGCTCAGGGCTGGAAGCAGGGAGTGGATGGGGAACCGTAATCCTCAGGGACTGCTCTGTGTCAATCGTTTCTCTAAGGAAATGAAGAGACCAGCAAATGAAAACAAAACAAGGAACTAAAAACTTCATAGCACTTTCTTAGAAAAAGTTTTAATTTATATTTAGCACAGTTCTCTTTATAAAATACATTTATTTAGTAAACAAACTCCCCTCATTCATTTATTTCAAAATGCAAGTGGCCTCAGTCAGCACCTCCTCTCTGGGACAAGGCCTCAGGGCAGGACCCGGCAGGGCAGAAGTCCAGGAGGGAGAAATCCTGCTGCAGTGGGTAGCTGTTCTCATCCAACACGAAAAGGCTCTCAATCTTCAGCACTTGGGGCTCCGAGCTGGCTGCCAGCAGGGAGTGGAGCAGGTCTGCGGCTACCATCGCATAGGTGACCTCCAAGGATGGCACTGGGGAGACAAAGTACACGCAGCACTGACCCTTCTAGAAGGTGGAAACCGAACATGAAAGCAGCACCCTATTACTTGGGCCCTCTGGTTTCCTACCTCCTGTAAACTGCTCATCCTGTGCCTGTCTTTCTAGTCACTAAGGTAGTGGAGAGCAATGGATGGTGGGCTATTCCTACTGGACACAAAAAGCAGGGACGGAGGACGCCCCATCCTCAGACAGCAGGCCCCTTAAGGCTCAGCTCTCAGCTGGCTCCCTGCCCGCCTCTCATACTGGGGATTGAACCCAGAGCCTTCATGCTGGATTGCAACTCAGCCCATTTTATCTTTTATTTTGAAACAGTCCAACTGACTTGTCCAGGCTGGGCTTAAACTTATGATTCTCCTGCCTTGGCCTCCCAAAGTGCTGGGATTATGCCATGTGCCACCATGCCTGGATGCCTATCAGCTTTTTAATGCAATGAAGGAGAATGATGTTTTCCTGCATTAACACTGAAATCATGAAGGTATGTCCAAGCAGAAAAGCACTCTTATACTTACCCATCTACAGTTTTCATTCCAGCTACATATACATATACAAGCTGAGTGTCCTTGATCCAAAATGCTTGGCACTAGAAGTGTTTGGGATTTCAGGTTTTTGCATTTTGGAATATTTGCACACATAATGAGATATCCTGGGGACAGGACCCAAGATGAATGTGAACGTTATACATGTCACCTGAAGGAAACTTTATACGATGTCTTTAGTGTACCTGGCTTTCAACTGCAACATGTCACATGCTATGGGATTTGCCACTTAGAACATAACATTGGCACTCAAAAAGTTTCAGGTTTGGGAGCATTTCAGAGTTCAAAATTTTGGATTACAGATGCTCAACCAGTACTTACGTTTTATATAAAAGAACCCTGAATCAGCTATTTAATGAATATCATACCAGTAATAAAATACTACTAAAATTATAAGTAGATGTGTCATAATTTTCATTTGTCTGCATTCACCCTTTCTCTTTTTTTCTTTGTGTAGGTGTATATGTGCATGCATAGGAAAGGTACTAGGGACTGAACCCAGGGCCACCACACTGAGCTGCATCCCCAACCCTTTTTATTTTTTTATTTTGAGTCAGAATCTACATAAGTATCGAGATAGGAGTGAAGGAAGTTCCACCTTCCCACTCACATGGCAAGTCACCCTCTGCTTGTACCCTGACCGAGAAAGACTTCATTGACGGTAGTGTTCCTTGTACCCCTGAATGAACAGTCTCACCAAGAACCACCTCTGCACGGTGTGCTGATAGCTACCTATCACTTTGTGCAAGTAGTCTGGAGAAATGTGGAGGAGAATCTTCTCTACCAGCTTGGAGCCTACACGGATGCAAACAGAATGGCTTCCATCAACTATGGTCATTAAAGCTGGCCTACAAAAAGGAAATGGAAATGGAATTTAGAAACATTCATTAACAAAGAGGAACTCAGGAGAGCACTGTGGACTTTCTCTCTTTAGCTACATGCTTCTTGGTCCTTCCCTCTTCTCACCCTGTCCTCTTTCCCCAGGCTCTCTCTCTCCTCTCCCACTCCCAGTACTGGGAATTGGACCCAGGATTTCATACTGAGCTACATCCCAGGCCCTTTTTTATTTGACATAGTGCTTGCTATGCTGCTAAGTTGCCTAGGCTGGGTTCAAACTTGCAATTATCCTGAACTTGTGATTTTCCAGCCAGGATTACAGGCATGTGCTGCCACATCCAACTCCTCCATTTTTTTTGAAATAAATACAAATACTAACTGACCATCTATCACAATCAGGGGCTGTGGTGAACGGTGGACATACGCCACTGACAGAATGGCTGGTTCCTCTATTCAAGGAACTTTGGAATTTGGCAGGAAAAAAGAAAATATGAAAAATTTTTGAGTGCTGGGGATAGAACTTAGAGCTCACACATTCCAAGTCCAAGAAAATAAGATTTTTTTTTACAATGGTGCTGTCTTAGTTACTTTTCTCTTGTTGCTGAGACAAAGGACTTAATACCCAAAGTTAAAGGGAAAAGGGTTTATTTAGCTCACAGTTTGTAGAGGTTTAAGTCCATAATTGGCTGGCTCCAAGGCAGAGTGGCACATGGCAGAGGGGCATTGTGGAAGAAAAATAGTTCATGGCAGCCACACAATAGCACAAGCAACAAGGGAACCTTAACTGCATCTTTCTGCCCCTTTTATCTTATCTAGACTACTGAGATTAGGGTGGTGCCAACCCAAATCAGTGTAGTGGTTTAGTAATCATACACCCTTAATCCCAGCAACACACACTCTAGATTCAGCCACCTCTGAAAAACCCCTATGAAAAGACCCCATGAGGCTTTGGGGGACATCTCGACCCAAACCACAACAAGATGACTCAATGGGGAGAGGAGTCTTTTCAAAAATCATGCTGTGAAAAATGGATATCCACATGCAAAAATGAAGCTGGATTCTTCCTTTACATCATACACAAAAATTAACTCAAAACAGATAATGAACTCAAGTGTAAGAGATAAAACAATGAAGCTCTTAAAAGAAAATATAGAAGTAAACTTCATGATCTTGCCTTAAGAATGTCTCCTTTCTTATATATGACACCAAAAGCACAGGCAACATCAACAACAAAAAAACAGAGAACAAAAGTATTGGCAAGGATGTGGAAAAACTGCAACCCTCACATTACCTGCTGGTGAGGATGTAAAACTGATCAACAGCTTTGGAAAACAGTCTGGCAGTTCCTGAAACAGTCAAGCCATACAGCCCAGGGATTCCGCTCCTGGTTCTACACCCAAGGGAATGAAAATGTATGTTCACACAAACACTTGCACACAAGTGTTCACACCAGCATTATACATACAAGCCAAAAAATAGGAATGACTCAAAGGTCTACCAGCTGATGAATGGATACAAGGTGGCATTTGAATACAATGGAATATTATTTTACAATAAGAAAATAAAATAGTGATCCATGCTACAACATGGAAGAGCCTTGAAAACATTGTGCTATGTGAAAGAGGCCAGTCCCAAAAGGCCTCCCACTGTGGCTCTGCTCCTGTGATGTGTTCAGGAGTGGAAGCCTGCACACAAAGGAGAACGGAACTTCCGTAGGCAGGAGGATAAGGACAGGACTGATCACTTACTGGATATGGGCTGCAAGGAGGCAGTGGTGGCCTGGGGTGTGGAACACAGCTGGGAGTAAATCAGAGGAGGAGAAGGTCCATGGGTTAGGCCACTTCAAAACAAAAGCAGTATGAGCAGCACCAAGGGTGCCGAACAGAATGAGCTGATTTGGATCTAGAGGTGAAGAAAGAGAAAGAGGAAACATTTATAACTCTTTAACCAAGGCTAGCCGGAGGATTTAGCTCAGTGGTTCCACTGTCTGCCTCGCAAGCACAAGGTCCCAAGTTCGATCCCTGGTTCCAAAAAAAAAAAAAAGATAACCAAGGCTGACTGGTGTAAGGCAGAGCAGGAAAGCTGGATGGTAGGAGAAAGAGGTAAGGCTAGGGGGTGACTCTGTTCATGCATTTCTAATCTGACAAGCACCAGAATGTGGACACAGGCTGGTAGGAAAGGCCCATCAGGAGCAACAGTAATTGAAGACAAGAGAAACAAAACAAGATGCAGATACTTATGCAAGGCCTGGTCACACGTAGGGCTGGCCAGGATTCTTCATGAGGCACATCTGACTACTGCTCAGCTTTCTTCCCAGAGCCATCCATACTCAGCGTGAATCAGCATTTTCCCACCATAAACTAGTAAGTTTTAAGGGCCCTATCACTGTGTAATTGCGAGTGATCTGTAGTATACCCATGACATCTCCTTTTACCTGCCACTCAGTCACTAAATTGTGCCAATTCTGTCTTCTCAACACTTTTTAAAGGATAATATACATTTATTTCTTTGAAATTCCAGTAACAACTTCTGTTTCTTGTTCTTTCTATGGCTACACTGAGTTTCACTTGTTCAGTACAACACAGAAAGCATGAGAAATGCCTCAAATCCCAAAATCCCCCACTAACTAATCTCTGGCCCACCATACTTGTAAAGGCAGAAGCACTTTTCCATAATGGTTACTCCTATTTGCTAGTTAAATCTTTTAGTTAGCCAGAATCTCACATTACATAGGTATTCCAGTAAACTGAGGTTTATATCAATAAGGACATGATGCCTGTTATGGCTTATAGCTAAATGTCCGCCCAAAGCCTCATGCACTTACAGGTGCAGCTTTAGGAGATGATTGGATCATGGGTGTGTGATACTGGATTAGCTCACTGATGGGTTTATAGCTGGTTGTGATGTTGGGAGGTGAAGCCTGATGGGAACTGGTGGGCTATTGTGGGTGTTGCCTAAAGGTATATCTCCCTCCTCCCTCCCTTGATCTCTTGCTTCCTGTCCTCCATGCCATGAGCTATTCTCCTGTGCAATGCTCCTCTGCCAAGCCACCCTGCCTTGGAGCCAGGCGACTGTGCACTGAAACCTCTATGAACTGTGAGCCAAAATAAACCTTTCCTCCTTCAACTTGTGTCAGGTATTCTGTGCCTGCAATGAGATAGTAACTAAGACAGTACCTGAGACAGAAAAATTTCCCTTTCTCTTCAATTTCAAAAGACCTTGTCCTGGGCCGGAGATTTAGCTCAGTAATTCCAGTGCCTGCCTTGCAAGTGCAAGGTCCCAAGTTCAATCCCCAGTACCAAAAGGAAAAAAAAAAAAAAGACCTTGTCCATCAACACATCTCACTACCTTCTTGAAAGTTTAAAATGAGATAGTTCTTTTGATAAAAACTTTTCATTTCCTATTTAGAAAAAATTAAATCAGTCAGCATCCTTCCTTCCCACCCCTGACATGATAGTCAAGCCACTGTCATCCCTGCCCTAGATACTCTCTTGCACCCAGGCTCATTCTCATCTGTTCTCCAAGGGACAACCGAACTCATGTCCTAGGAGCAGAATTTAACAGAGGTGACACATGTGGCTTCTGGGGCAGGGTCATAAAAAGGCTGGCTTCCACCCAGCTCTCCCTTGGTGGCTTTCCCTGGAGAAACAAGCTGCTGTACTGTGAGTGCATCTAGGCAGCCCTTGGGGAAAAGGACATATGAGGAGGAACACAGCTCACCCCACATTAGTGGGCCACTCAGGAAATACACCCAGCCCACACCTCCCTGCACCTCCTGAGACCATGGCACCCACACAGCTGCCTCTCTGAAGCTGAATAGTAGCTTGGCCTGTTGGCTTCTCAGCTTCTGTACAGAAAAAGCAATGTATTCCTTGTATTCCAAAAAATGTAATTCTGAATTTATATTCTGTAAAACATTGTTAAAGATAGTATTCGGGTTCTTTAATAGTTTTAAAAACAATAACTAGGGCCGGGGATTTAGCTCAGTGGTTTCGCCACCTGGTGTGCAAGCACAAGGACCCGAGTTCGATCCCTGGTACAAAATAATAATAATAATAATTAGGGCTGGGGATTTAGCTCAGTGGTACTGTGCCTGCCTCGAAAGCACAAGGTCCTGAGTTCGATTCCTGGTACCAAAAAAAACCAAAAAAAAATACCCTAAATAATAATTATATTGAAAAGGAACATTTGGAATGATATAAAATAAGTCACCTATACATACTTTTGAGAGCCTTAACTGTTGATGAAAAGTCAATTTTAATTGTGTTTCTTATATACTAGGTATCTTAGTTTAATCTTCCACAAAAGCAACCTACAAAGTAATAGTAAAACTCATTCACTCATTTAAACCAAACATTAACCATTCATAGACAGAAATACAACTTATGGACTAAGCTTCAGTAAATCTCCTGAAATATGCCTTGATAACATGCTAGATAGATCTGTGTTAGGTTTTTAAATACTGCTGTATCTTGAAATAAGAGGAAATAGTATAAAACCATGGTATACTACCTTGTAAAGGCAGGTCATTTATACAGTTAAAAAAAGGTTATCTATGACTTTGGACATTTATTATTTGGAACACAATGTGTGTTTTCACTGAGCTAGTTGGCAATTTTACCAGAGAACATTTATTTGCTATCTTTAATTTCTAAGATAAAGGTAGGAAAACTGAAGTATAGAAGGTTAAATATATTACTAGCTTGCACAAACAACACAGAGGTAAGATCATATGATACCTTTAACCTTTGAATCCTATGTTAAAGTGGGGAAGTGAAGTATTTACGAAAGATTTAGATCTTGGTTAAAAAATGTAAGCAAAGTAATAATTCTCTTCAGCATGCCTATCTTAAGACAAAAATCTCCTTACACAATATTTGCTTCCATAATAGCTATTTATTGTGCAGGGGAAATTTTTCTTCTCCTGGGTTAGTTCTTATTAGAAAGTAAGGGTTGATACATATAATCTTTTGTCATTTCTAGTCCTACAATAGTAACTATTCCCATCAAATTGGCTTCCTACTCTGCCTTACCTGTAGTATATTTTCTTTCCAGAAAGCGGCAAGCAGCTAAGACACTGTCTATAGATCTTGTTCTCATCTGTGTCCAGTTCTGATCCACACCCTGCACAGCCCGTGTAGATAATGTTGGGGAGCAAGGACAGGATGCGCTCCAGAGAGCTGTGAGCATTCAGACTGAACTCCTGAGCCGCTCTAACTGGAAACACCAGCTCCACAATCCGGGCTTTAATCAGAACCACTCCTAGGAGAGATGAAGAAATCATGTATACTACTGGATCCAAATGATTAATTTGCAAATGTGCCCAGTGATTTATGGTCGCTAGGGAAAGGCTGCATCAAGTCCTGCTCTCGGTCTTCCTCTTCCCTAGAGAATCCCTCTTTCGGAGCTGTGGTGCCTAATCCGGAATCTGCCTGCAACCAAGTGAAGGTTTACTGGCTGATCTCACTGAGCAACTGGGGGTGTTCTTCCTCCTTGTTCTCTGAAATAACACAAAATAAGTGTAATCGTTCCTTTAGGAAAAATCCCTTCACATACTGCACTTGAGAGTAGCTAACATGCCTCTCCCTGCCCTGTCCCATCAATTTAACCATCATAATTAACAGCCAAATGGGAGGTAAGTTATTCTACTCAATCTTGTCCAAAGGTAATTAACAAATGTTTATGCTCTTGTCACTCTTCCTCCCCATTCTGCCCTCTGCCGCTGCTCCAGCTGTGGGTTATGTAACAGCAGCGTGACACCCACGTCCTCACTGAGAAAGGTTTCTCCGGTGACTCACTGGACTTCAAGTGAGCTCGCTGAGTACTACAGGCCCTCAATCACCTGTGAGCAGACACTGAACACCCACTGCCCACCGGACACCCCTTCTCCCACCTCAGCATGGCCTCTCTGTCCAATAGTGGAGCCCGCACCTTGTGTCAGGCCCCTTTCTCTCCACCATCACTTTAAAGCCTTCCCCCACGCCTGTGCAGTGGCTCTTCCGGACCAAGAGCTCATCATCCCCGCCTCCTAGCCTCTCTACTGCCATCTCTCTCCGAGTCCAGCCCAGGGTGACTTGTCCACATGTTCTTCCATTTGCTTTCATTTTTCAGTGGTTTCATCACATCTTCTGATCACACCACATATCTCTGCGAGTCAGCAGGAAGGGTAGTAGTCACCTATCTAACAAGCTGGAGCAGACTCCCTTTCACACCTTCCCACAGCTATGCTGAATCTCTAAAGTATTTAATAAAAGAATTCAAATACAGAGCTTGGTAGCACACCTCTGTAATTCCAGTACTCAGGGAGGCTGAGGCAGGAGGATCATCATGAGTTCAAGACCAGCCTGGGCTACATAGTGAGACCCCGACTCAAAAAAAAAAAAAAAAAAAGAATTCACTAATTTTGCGTGTTAATCTAATCCTATCAATTTATAAATTTATACATCTCCATAAGAGAATTAAAAGGTCACTCTAAACACAGGCTTTGCTTTCAGGGGCACCCAGCCCTCTGGGCCTGAACTTCTGCTGTGGGTGAGGTGAGACTACACAAGCATCTCCCTCTCCTCAGAGTCAGGCACAGGCTTGTTCTCCTTCAAGTTTTTGTCCAACAAGCAGGCTCTCCTAGCAAATTCCCCAGTGGTGATTCTTCTTTCTCCTTTCTCCTCCCTTTAATTTAACTAGGAAATGGTTTTTTAAAAGGTTGCTTGTACTTTTGTGATCTCTCTGCATTTTGGTCTTTTTTTTCTTTTGAGACAGGGTCTTGTGTGCATTTTTGTCTTAAAAACCCATAAACAGTTATTTGTGGTGGTACACACCTGTAATACCAGCTATTTGGGAGGCAAAGGCAGGAGGATAGCAAGTTCAAGGCCAGGCTGGGCAATTTAGCAAGACCTTATCTCAAAATAAAATTAAAAAGAACAGGGGACGTAGCTCACTTAGAGCACTTGCCTTGTTTGAGTGAGGTTCTGGGTTCAAGCCCCAGTTTGTGAAAAACAAACAAAAAACACATATAAATAATGAGAGAAACTATTAATTCAGCCCTCATAGCTGAACATAAAGAAAATAAAAAAGCCAAGTGTAGTGGTGCATGCCTGTAATCCTAGCCCTCTCGGAGCCTGGGTCAGGAGGATCGGAAGTTCAAGCCCAGTCTGGGCAATTTAGCTACTTAGTGAGGCCCTGTCTTAAAAAATAAAAGAAGGCTTGAGGTGTAGCTTAGTGCTAAGGCACTGGTTTCAGTCTCCAGTACCACAATGAAACAGAGAGTGAGAAGGGACTATCTGAACCCAGTATCTCCAGGCCTGACCGTAATGGCACAGTTTCAACACGCCTTCCCAATCCCAATTCCAGCCTCAACTCCAAGCTAGTGCGGCATTGGTACCATTAATCATCAGCACTGTGCCACCTATTTTGTTCACATCCATGTTGTTTATTTTTACTTTAAAATCTAATTCAATTCCAGTGAGTAACTCCTATTAAGCAGAAAGCTTCACTGAGGAATTCTATCAAACATTTGAGGAAGCAATCATTCTAATTCTACACAAACTCCTCAGAAAATTGAAGGAGTGACTACAAATGGAAAAATGGAATTGAAATCCAGCATCAGGAATCAAAGTTGCTGAGTTATTCTTAATAATTTAACCTACAAAATCACTCAAAATGGAAATCTTATACAAATTCTTGGAAAATTTTTGACCAATTATTTTCTTCATTTAAAATTCAAATTATGTAATAAAATAAACCTACAACCACATCCTATTTTCCTCAACCCTATTTCCTCTCCAAAAGGCATTTACTATTGCAGCAAATGTACAACTTCCCATTAGTTTCTAAAACCAACAATCCCTGTCATTTACTAATTACTGGACCTTAGCAAATCTAAATATAGTTTCAAATGCTATTGTTACATGTTCAACTAGAAGTCGGCATCCTTTCAGCACTACCTCAGTGCACAGGAAGCCAGCACAATGTAGTGGAGCTTCTTCCCTCTAAAACTGTAGAAACTTTACTGGTTATTTTCATTATTGTGCTCTCTGTCCCAAAGCCCATGGCAATCTGAATACAAAATGTATTCCTTTTCTTCTTTACTAAAAACAGATCACTTTAATTATATTTAACTAAAATAACATTTAATTAATGGAAAGTGTATGTGTATAAAATTCATCATCGAAGGCATTCTTCTATGTTACATGCTTCTCAGGATGAATTCTGGAGACATACAGATAGTATTTGAGTTCAGGAAATTTAACAGATTGTTTTTGTGACTACAATGAAATCCTTGAGGCAAGTAAACTGTATAAAGAACGGGTTTATTTAGCTTGCATTTCTAGAGATTCATGAGCATGGCACTGGCATTGCTGAGCTCTGGTGAGAAACTCATGACGACTGCAGGGGTGCATGTGAGATCACACTGCCACACAGGAAGCTGAGGAGACTGGGGTTCCACATCCTTCTGAGGGCATGCCCCCAGTGACACATGGACCGCCCATAGGCTCCACCTCTTACAGGATCACTACCTATCTCCCACTGCCACATTGGAGACCAAACCCCCAGTTGTGAGCCCTCGAGGGATGAGCGACACCCAAACCATGGCAGGAAGCATAGTACTGCATTTGACAGAGCAGCAAGGGCATTTCACAGCTCCCGTGTTAGTGCAAATCTCAGAACCACATCCCGCAGACAGATGAGTGACTTCCTAACATGCTTATCTCAACAGTGGCTCTGGTTAAGGTCATTTTCCTATTTCTGGTTTATAAGTGATAAACTGCTGGAAACTACACCTGAGAAATATTTTAAGTGATTTCTAATAATTACATAACATCTAAGGACTAGAGTCAGCTAAGTTGACAATGTCTAGTTTAGTTTCAAAGATCTATGTTTTGTTTTGTTTTTTGGTACCAGGAATCAAACTCAGGACCTTATGAATTAAGTGGCACACACCTATAATCCCAGCACTTGGGAGGCTGAGGCAGGAGGATCACCAGAGTTCAAGGCCAGTCTGGGCTAGCTACACAGTAAGACTTTGTCTTTAAAAAAAAAAAAAGAAAGAAATATTTTATATGTACATAGATCTTACCTGAATATTTATCCTTTAGGTGAGTTGCTAAATCTGACATTTTGACAAAGGAGGGTGTACTTTCTTGAAATTTTGATTTAAATGCAATTGCCCTTACATCATCATCAAACAGGCACTCGGAGGATGACCAGGGTGTTGTATGCAATTCCAAGCTCTCCAGTATGCAATTGCGCTGAACAAAAAGATATTTAAATTCCCAAATATAACCTTAAAACAAAGACAAAAATCAAAGGTCACCAAAATGGAAAAAGCCTAGGCTCAGAATCAGATTAAATAATTTGACCTAAATAAATCAGTTAAATACAACTTTTATCACTAAATAATTTGGATATACAGGGGCTGGGGATTTAGCTCAGTGGTTCCACTGCCTGCCTCACAAGCACAAGGTCCCAAGTTCAATCCCCGGTACCAAGAAAAAAATAATAATAATTTGGCTATAAAGATACAAAATATGCCAGGTATGGTGGCACACACCTGTAATCCCAGTACACTGAAGGCTGAGGCAGAAGGATTGCCGTGAATTCGAGGACAGCCTGGCCTGTAATAAGACCATGTCTCAAAAATAAAAAAAATAAAAAATTTTTTAAAAAGACACAAAATATGTATGAATGTTGTGTTAAGGCCACAGGATACAAATGCTAGAAATTATTCCAATAAAATTTTTCTAATAATTTCTTGGTCTCCTGAACAAAAAAGTCGTAATTTATCATAATTGTTTCTGGAAGGAGTAAATTCTCATTGATAACTACAAAGTTTTTTTTTTAATTTGAAGAGTTTTTTTAAAGGGACACTTAAGTGGCCCAAGGCCTACTGTAACCAATATTTTACTGATATTTCAATACTTTAATTATCTTACTTAGCTAACTTCTCTAGAACAATGGCAAAAAAGCATTTAGACATACTAACACCCAGTTTTATCTCTCAGTAATAATTCTAATTTTTAAACCACAGGAGAACATACCTCCTTGTCAAATAATTGTATTCTATATTGGTAAATTCAACTTTAAAATTATAATAGCTGGGTGTGGTGGTGCACACATGTAATCCCAGCACTCAGGAGGATGAGGCAGGAAGACTGCCATGAGTTTAATGCCAGCTACAAAGTGAGATCTTGTCTCAATAGCAGAACAAAACAAAACAAAACAAAATTATAATTAAAGGATATTTCTCAGCACTAATTTTTCTGAAAATAGCTGTCTCTTTAGTTTCCCACTTTAGGCCATTCACTGCTCCCACTTGCCTCAGTTTCTTTATACATATGTGTGTGTGTATGTGTGTAAATTTTGGTCCAGAATCAATCTGCATAGACAGTCTCTTTAGAAAGAACATATAGACACATCTTTATGCAATGATAAATTCCTAGAGGTACAATTAATGAGCCAAAGATATCCCAAATTCTTTCATATATCCTTCTCTTCAAAAAGGTTCTGCTAATTTTATTCCCAACTGTTTATGACAGTGGCAATTTTCCCATATTTTCTCTGTAAATTTCTTACAAGAATAAAGTCATTTATCATTATTTTGTCTTCAATTACTCTCAAGAGTAATTTTTTCATATATTTATTGGCTATTTTTATTTCTTTTTGGGGCCTTGCCTGTTCATATCCTTTACCCATTTGTCTTTTTAGATTTTTGCTTATTGTATTATTTTCTGACACAATGTAATTTTTTTCTGGTTTATCATATCTTTTAATTTTGTATGGGGGGGATTTATGTATAGAATGTTTTCCTGCTGTACTATCTTTAACATACCGATCTTTGGATTGCAAATAAGTTCACCTAATTTTCTACTCATTTAAAAAAAATGGTTTTTTTCTTTTTTGGTATTTTGAACAGAATCTCACTATATAGCTCAGACTGGCCTTGAACTCACTGTGATCCTACTGCCTCAACCTCCTGAGTGCTGGGATTATAGGTATGCACCACCACACCCAGATCTTTTTAATTTTTATTTGAATCTCTAGGGCATTTGCAACATATTTTGGTACAAATATGAAGTAAAAATTTAATTCTATTTTTTCCTCAAATTATCAGGTATCTATCCCAAATGTCAAATTCTTTTTTAAAAAGGAAAAAAGTTAATTTTTTAATAATAAAATACATTTATTGTAAAACATTTAGAAAATAAGAAAAAAGGAAGATAACAGGTGAAATAAGACTGGCCATGTTCTAATAAGCTGCCTACTGAGCATTTCAGTTCATTATAGGAACTTACTGTTCTCCCTACTTTTGCATGTGCTTGAAGGCTTTTAAAAAGTTTAAAAAGTAAATACAGATACATACAAATTCAAATAAAACTCAAATTAAAGGTATTACTACACAGGGATAACCACAGCTAGCATTTTGATATATATGTTTCTGGTTTTTTAAATGTACATATATACTGTACTTAGAGATACACTTTTATTAAAACGTGATACTATTATTTATGAAGTTTTGTAATATATACAATGTGTACATCTTTCTAAGCTAGTGTGTCTACATATTTGTGATACTGAATATATCATGTCGACCCAGACTACAAACAACTACTTCCTGCCCACTGAAGTAAGCTCAAGCTGTCACATTAGTATTGTGGATCCCTGTCTTCCTACTTACAGTTTATTGGATAAGATTATCTAGGATCGGATTCTCTTTGCTGGGAATTTGGAAACCGGTTTGGAAAGTAAAATCATGAGCTAGGGAATAACCACTTCTGCTTTCCATGTGGTGGGGAAGCAGACAAGCTGGGCCTTGGGAAGACTGCAAACACACAGAGAAGCTGCAGACTGACAGCTACCATGCTTAGGTTCTGGCTTCTGAGGGCCCTGAAGCGAACCAGCACTCTCCACCTTGGGTGCTGAGACATCTCTATAAACATCACATTGTAAAGCTACACGCAGTGGAGCCCCAGTCCTAACAACAAGGCCTCAGGACCCACACTTAACGGTAATTTCCTTTCTTCCTTCCTTTTTCCTTTCCTCTTCTCCTCCACCCCCTCCTTTTCTGGCTGACTTGCTGGGGATAAAATCCAGGACCCAGTGCACACTAAGCGTGAGCTCTACCACCCAGCAACACTCAGCCCTAGCTATAATTACTTAACACATCCCATGGCTTGCAAAATTGTCATGATCACACATTTTAACCTTGTGATTCAGCAGCACTGTTTCCTTCTCAAACTGGGTCTTTTATCCCTTAAAGATGGTTTGAAATTCACATGGCTGACTGATCTGTACTTTAATCTTCATTCATTCATAAAGAAAATAACTACTGAGGCAGGCAATGCTGTGTGATAGGATATATGCTAAATAGCCAGTTGAGGCACTTACATGCAAAGATCTTACAGTCTACAGTACTAAGAAAATCAATCCACAAAAGAAAATGAGCCAGAGGAATACACAGAAGGTGAGCTGGCGTGCACTTGTGAGACCAAGATGAGGATACAAACCTGGAGGCTGGACGTGGAGGCCTGTAAGTGGGAGATTGGAGGAAATGTGCTCTAGACAAAAGCAATAGTACATTCTACATCCTGAGGCAGAAGGTTGACATGTTCAATAACAGAAAGGCACACGTGCTGGTTAAGTTCATGAATCTGAGACAGAGCTATATAACACAAACTGTGATATATTTCTAAATGTGAATCACTAATCAAGGATATATTTCAAAACTCCACACAGACATAACTATGGCTTTGAATAACCATGAATGTTGGGGTTGTTTGTATTGCTCTGGGATTAGTAATGGGAGTACTTTATTGTGATTTGCTATCTATTTGAAATATTAGACTATTAAATAATTGCAGAAAAATATTGCATTGGAAAGGCATGTAGTTCTGAATGGATTATTTTATGTCTAACCAATTACTCTTAAATGTAATTTATGTCCTTAGTTTACCCTCATTAGGGTCTATACTGTGACCAATGCTTGCTACATGTGAAGCATGCCAAATTCCTACTGGAAATGTGTATTTCAAAAGAATATAAACTTGGGATTTCTTATTATTCTTCCCCCAAAACATCAACTCCATTATCTACAGTATTCAATAACGACTGCTTGGTGATCATTCTGATTATGTCACCTAAACATGAGTTTGTTATCCTGAGGACAAATAAAACCAGTGCCCAGTACAAAGGTTAATACAAAGAAAGCCCCAAGACACATAAATGGATGAGCAGAATACTACCAATTTGTGAAAATGGAAGCATATACTTAAATTATCCTTAAAAATTGGTATTTTCTATTAAAAAAAACTGCCTTGAGGTACTTAAGCAGATGTTAAAACTCTTTTCTTTTTGGTACCAGGGATTGAACTCAGGACCTCGCGCTTGAGAGGCAGGCAGATGTTAAAACTTTAAAATGATGGTATAAATGTAAGCTGAATTAACAAATGAACAAAGAATAACTACATCTTAAGTCCTAAATTCCTGTTTTTAAGGTTAAGCTTAAAACCACAGAATTATCTAAAGACCACTATAATTTCTCTTCTACTCTCAAGTAACTATTAACTTAAAGGATATTCATGGTAAGCATGGGACACTCTGCTGTGCCACAGCTCCCCCCTCTACCTCTGACCTACATCTGTGTTCAGCATGTACTAGGCTCGTGTCCTGGTTGTAACAGGGTGGTCAAGGACTACGCCTCATCTATCAACAATATGTGTTTGTCAGGTTTCTCAACTGAGTAAACATCTCTTACTGTTTGATCCTAACATAAAAGTAAAAAATCAGACTTACTGCAAATCCTAGTTGTAAGCTATTAATGATTAAGAGAGATGATGTACCAGATCCTACCTAAATAGAGCTATTTGGTAGGGAGACATTTAGAAAGAGACATTGACTCCTTCAGGTAAAAGATAACAAGTGTCACAAAATAACAAGTGTTAAAATTAACACTTAATCTCTAAATTAATTTTGTAGGGTAAAATAACTCAAACCATTAATTCAGTGATTTCTGTTACAATGAAAGGATCTCACAGAGCAAAAGGAATTGTGAAATATTTTACTGAAAATCAAGACCAATTGAAACATCAATTTAATATACCATATATTATTAATTTATGCTTTAAAGCAAATATAGCTTTGTCATTTTTTAAATGAGCACCATATGATGTCTAATAATCAAGCACTTTTAAAACAAGTGAAATAAAAAACATGGAGCACAGTCATTTATTGAACAGTAATTGTGACTTGAAAGTGTTAATGTAACTCCCCTAACATTTGCCTTATAACCAGAGAGAAGTTTATTTATGAGAGCGCTTTGGCTGAAAAAAAAATTGTAGAAGTTTCTCCAGAATTAAGTTTTTAAAGAACATTATTTAAAGGAGGTCAGATATTAACTAAAAAAGATTAAGTAGTACACTTGAGAATAAATGTAAGCCTTTATTTTAACACCATTAATTATAGAGGACTTTAAGATAACTAAATTGCCACAAGGAATATGTAATTATAATAAAAATGTGTGGAATATTAATTTTGATCACTTCTATTTTAAAGGTTATCTCCTTTCTTCAGATTCTCTTCATTTTCAGCTAATGAGCATTAATCATTTATCAAAATATAAACAGGCTAACTGCTTTTTTTGGTGTATTTACCTTTTTTCCTTTGAAGCTGAGGGTACCAGGCTGCTCCAGGACCCCATAGCACAAGCACGTAATGTTGACCTTGGGCCTGTTCCACTGTTAACATAACTTTCCTTTGCTTCTGTCCTCTGTAACTGTACAATGCCTCTGGGAAAGGAAAAGAGAAAGGAATATTTTAGTTGACATCACTCTATCACAAGTGATGGCATACTCTGATAACTCACAATAAATACGTAATGATAACTAAATGATACACTAAGATGGTCTTTTGTCTTGATTTTTTAGGATCTAAAATCAAAGAAGCACTCAAAATGTTTACCCGTCAGTACAGTGACATCCACAACTCTCAGCATGGCATGGACTAATGTATCAGGCTCCAGCTGCTCCAGTTCTACAAACTTTATCCTGCTCACTCTCTGAGGCCACCTCTGTGGAAGACCTTTGAGGTAGGAATGTTCCGAAGATACATATGCCAGTAGGTCCTGAAGTACAACAGTGCTAACTATACAGGAATCTAAGGAAGAAAAATACACACCAATGTGGACAAAGGATGGCAATATCACATTTTCTTCACAGAGCATATGTTTTAGAACTGCATTTTAGGTTGTAAAGTGTGATTAGATATAAAACACCATTTCATTTCTACAAAACATGTAGTTTATTCTTCAATCAGTTTGGAATTAAAAATAAAGATTGACATTTTTAAGCAATGGAAACAATCATTTACCATCTTCAAAATTTTACTTTGCTCCCTTACTTCTCTATTTGATTAATAACATTTTTCTACTAATTTACTGAGCTCAGAACTTTCGTTACGTTTTTATTCCTCCAACACCCTGATGATATCCTGTCATTCCCCCTGGTCTTTGGAGTCTGCTTTGATCACATCTTTCCCAACTCTCCTAACCACTGCCATTCTTCTACAGGCTCCTGGATACCTCACCCCTGAAATAGTCTACAGGCCAAGCTGCCCCACTGGCTAACTGGCTAAACATGCTCTATTCTTTCCTGTGACTAGGCTGCTGTCAGTGACAACCTCTGTGAACCCATATTTCTCTAGGCTTCATTTTTCACTTACAGTGTGGTGGTTTTAGGGAGAAAATGATCCCTGACATCAAATTAGATATCTGTCCCTGTTTTATAAAAATTTATATAGAAACATATGGTTATTTAGATTATAAGGAAAATATAGTCTACCTCAAGGAAACAGTGTTGGCCTTTGATTTATATATTTAATACTATTTAGGACAAATTTATATCCTATCACATTACCAGGACTAGGACTATAAAGTATGTAATACCTCACTATAATGAGTAATGAACAGAAGTCTTTTCCAAAAGCACAATATATTGAAAAATACCAAAATTAAAAGATTGATTGCAACTGGTTAAAACCACACTGTCTTAATTACTGTTAGTTTGCAGTAAGTTCTGATATCTAATAAGGCAAGTTATTTGTCCCTACTTTTCTTTTAAAAATGCCTTGGCTGTTTTTGGCCATTTACTCTTTCACAAAAATATCAGATAATCTATCAACTTTCATAAAAATCATTTTGAGGTTTTTCAGTGGTTATGCACTAAATTTACAGACCAACTTGGGGAAAACTGAAATTTTCATGACATTAAATCTTTCAATCACTGAACAAGGACTTGTGTATTCTTTGTTATAATTACTACTTCATATTTAGTACTAAGATAATTCTGTAAACAGTGCCTTAAGTGTTATTAGTTGTTCTACTCTAGAATTCTTTTGTATACTAATCTTATATCTAGCCACCCTGTTAAACTTCCCAATTATTTCTAGTGTATGTGCTGCCAAAGCGAGCACTACTTTCCCATTATTTCTAACCATTTGCTCCTAGTTTGTAGTGAGGGAAAGATTGTCTGTAAAACATCATAATACCTATAAGTGACAGTTTTATTTTGTCGTTTCTAATCTTCGTGTATCTTTTTTCCATGTTCCATCATACTAGTTAATACCTCTAATACAATGTTAAACAAAAGGAGAAATAGTATCCTAGTCTGCTGCCTCAATTTTAAAAGCAAATTTTCTAATATTTTCATCAGTTTGGATGATAATTGTTCTGGGTTTTTGAAAGACTCTCTGAAGTTATGAGAAATTATTTTATTTCTGATGAATAGGTAATGAATTTCATCAAAAGCTGTTTTGCACCTATTAGCATGATCATATATGCCTTTTAAAAAACTTTTTGTTTGGAGCTAATGTTAGTTACAAAAATGTTGCAAAAATAGTAGACTCCCCACATATGCTTCACTCTATAAGCTCTAATGTGGACGTCTCACATAAGGAACAAATAACCTGCACAGGAATTGGCTAAATATTAAACTACGGAGTTTATGTAAATGTGATCAATTTTCCAATTCATCCTTTTTCTGAGTAGGACCCTATCCATGATCCCACCTTACATTTAATTGCTTTTTTTGCCAGTACCCTCATCTGTAACAGCTCCTCAGTTTTTCCTTGTCTTTCATGACCTTGACACTTCTGAAGAATACTGATCAGTATTTTGTAGAATGTCCTTCCATTTGGGTTTCTTCAATGTTCTGTTATGACTGGAATCAAGTTTACATTTTTTGAAATACCACAAAAATTATGCTCTGTCCTCAATGTTTAAGATCAAGGAACTCATCATATTCATACATCTTTACTGTTGATGTTTACCTTGATCACTTGGTAAGTTGAGGTTTGTCAAGTTTCTTCACTGTGGAGCTGCTATTCTTTCTTTTAAAGGATGCAACCAACAGCATATATGTCCATCAGGAGATGAATAGAAAAGGAAAATGTGGTAATTATACATAATGGAGTACTACACTGCCATAAAGAAAAATAATCTTGAGGCATTCATAGGTAAATGCATGCAATTTGAGACCAGAACGTTAAATGAAATAACCCAGGCATACAAGCTCGAATATTGCATACTTTCTCTTATATGAGAAACACAATAAATGGATATATGCAAATAAAGAGCAAAGTAGAAGAGAGATAACAGAAAGTAAGGAGAAGTTCAAATGCTTCCCCAAATCATAAATTTCATCGTTTTAAATACTTCAACTATCTATGCTAATTGATTTCATTTATACTACTAGTTTATCTAAGTTCATTGAAAATCTTTTTGGTTTATGTCTTGTACTCTGAATAACTATTTTGAAGATAATGATACACAGTGTAATATTGTTATTATTTGATTATAAAATTTTATTTTTTCATAAAATAAAAAACAAGCTGGAACTGTGCTGGGGAAATAGTTTGAGACTATACAATGCTATCCCTTCCCAAACCCCCACCTGCTAATTTAGCACCTGTCAATCAGTGTTTGTAATATTATTGTGGTGTCTAAGGGTAATTCTCTTTTTTTCCCTTTTCTCTCACATTTATTAGTTAGTTAAATATATATTAATATCAGTATGGATCCATAAACATTTGCTTATTCCATGAATTATAATCCACTGCCATCATTATTTTTTTGCTCTCTTTACATTCCAGCTTTGGGGAACAGAGGCTCATTCAGGTTGGCACCTGTGTTCTTTCAGCAAACCTTATTTGACTCCAGAGTTTCGGGGTCACCGTGTCTTTCCCTGACCTGACCCTGCAGTCAGCCACCTCTAGGAAAACTATTTCCTTTTTTAGAACAATGTTTACAGACAGAGTTCTAGATACTGGATGTGCTGTTCCTGGCGCGTTACTGCCTTGTGCCTGCTTAGTAGACAGAACCAGAGCACTGACACATGCGGTTTCTGTATCTATTTGTCTACAGATTAGGAACCCTGAGTTTATAATAATGCCTCGGTTCCAATGCAAAAAGGTTCATTTTAATCTTTCTCTTTTCATCTTCTATATTTTCCTTTTGACAGTGAGAAATCCAACTCCTATTACCTACAATGTATTTACTTATTTGTTCAGTTCTGGTATACGGTATACAAGAAAGTTGTTGCTCTGCCATTTTCTTTTGAGACATACACTTACTGCCTGGATTATAGCATTTACACAGCACTTTCTGTCCTGAGCCTCACAGAATCCAGTCAGTGTGGGGTCCTCTGTAGAAACTTAGGTTAGTTCTTTTCTTCCCCATCTCAGCAGTTACTTTATTCATCTGAAACACTGCTAGGTTCACTTGTTACTGTTTGTATTCCATTTGAGGTTCCCTTCCTCTACATCCCACTTGGTTAAACTGCTTGGGAATTTGGGGGTATATGAAACATCACTATGGTTCAGTTAGTCAGAACTACACAAAGACTCAGAGAAGGCTCACTCTTTAATCATCCCTGCTACTCTCTTCCCATTCTCTTCTTCCTTTCACCCCTTTCCCATTCGCCTCTTATGGTCAGTAGTCTCTTTAGTTTCCGGTTTCACTTCCTACATTTTTTTTTTTTTTGAGGCAAGGTCTCCCTTTGCAGTGTAGGCAGTCCCTGAACTCACTATGTAGACCAGGCAGGCCTCAAACTCTTGGCAATCCTCCTGCCTCAGCCTCCCAAGTGCTGGGATCACAGGACTGCACTACCATGCCCAGCTTTCTTTTCTGTTTTTATGAGACACAGTCTCACTAGGTAACCTAGGCTGGCCTCAAAACTAGTGCTAATGCTCCTGCCTCAGCCTCCTGAGTGCTGGGATTACAGGCATGTGCCACCACACCTGGCACCTTCCTTTTTTATATAAATATGAAGGACAGCATGCTAAATATATTGGGGAGTGTTTTTCATGTAATTGTACACCCTGGAAATTAGTCTGTTATCTGTTTTGTTTTTAATGGCAGCACAGTATGCCACTATATGGCTGTCCCATAGTTTAGTCATTTTCCTATGTATAACAATTTAGATTTTTTCAAATGTTTTGCAATTATAAACTATAATGAACAAACTTGTATATGTACATACTTTCCTACTGTTGAAGGTATATATTCAGGGTAGGTTCCCAGAAGTGGCATTGCTAGGGCAAAAGCTAAGTACAAGCTGGGTGTGGTGGCACACACCTGTAATCCCAACACTTGGGAAACTGAGGCAGGAGGATGGCTGAGGCCAGCCTGGGCTGTAGCAAGACTCTCAAAACAAAACAAAAAGCTAAATACATATGTAATTTTGTTAGGTATTACAAATACCCCTCCAGGAGGGCCGTAGCAATTTGCATTTCTACAACTAATGCATATGAGGTCCTCTTTCATCACTGACTCCAACAGTTATGCTGTCATGTTTTGTTCTAGGTAATACGTTGTATCTCCCTGTAGTTGTAATTTTAATTTCTCTAATTATGAGTGAGTTATATTTGAGGGCCCTTTTTACATTATTTTTTGAAAACTGTTTACTTCTTTACCCCATTTCTCATGTCCTATCAGGTACTCTGCCACTGAAATGTGTGTTAGGGATATTAGCCTTCTGTCTAATATTCATCAGTTGTCTTTTGACTTTTGCTTATGGTGTTTTCATTCATGAAAAACTTTATTTCTCTGTAGTCAAATTTATCAGACTTGTCTTTTGCTGCTTCTGTATTTTGAACAATGTTAAGAAAGTCTTTCCTATTCTAAAGTTAAAAAGACATTCATCTATGTTTCCTTCTAGTAGATACATGGTTTTATTTTTTACATTTAGATTCTTAACCCATCTGATATCTATTATTGTTTGTTGTAAGATATGAGTCTAATTCTTTTCCCAAATGGCTACCCAGCTGTCTCAGCACCATTTATAAAGTTAGCCATTATATCAGACATTTCAAGTATCACATTTGTCATACACTAAATTACTACACACATGTGGGGCTCCTCAGGTCTGCTACTCTATTCCACTGGGTCTAATTGTCTATTTGTGCACCACCACCTCAGAGTTCTAACCGCACTGGCTTTAGAGTATTTCACTGTTGGGCAAAGCTGACGGCCCATGTCAGGTTTTCCGTGTGTATGTGTGTGTTCATACCTGTTTTTACATGATTGTTTTCCTATATCCACTTTAGTATCAACTTCCATTTGCTGCAACAGAGCTTGTTGGTATTTCTATGGGAACTGCTTTCAATCTCCATATAACTTTTGACACAATAGTGTTGAACCATCCTATCCCAGAACAGGGACTGTCTTTCTGTTTCCTCAAGCTCATTACTCATCATCTATCACCTTAAGCTGTGCTTCCTGAAGTGTTTGTTTTCTCATCTAGGTTTCTTGTTAAACTTACTCTGAAATACCTTCTTGATTACTACTGTAAATGAGTTATTTCCTACCATCATGCTGTTTATTGGTTATTGGTTTTTAACATTAACTTTGTGCCCACTGTATCACTGCAGTCTTTTTTTTTTATCACCGAATTCTTTTATTGCCTGAGTTAGTTTTACCTGTCCTCTGTAGTCTTGAGGTATGTTATCAGAGCACCTGCAAATGCAGATAGTCTGCATTCTCCTTCTCCATTCACACACCTCCTGTCTAACTGCACCAGATAATAATTCCAGTCTAAGGTGAATAGTGGAAGGCAGGCATGGCTGCAACCACCAATAATCTCAGGACTCTGGGAGGCTGAAGAAGGGGGGTCAAGAGTTCAGGGCCAGCCTGGGCTACTCAGTGGGTTCAAAGCCACTCTATCTCTAAACAAAAACAAAAAACACAAGCAAAAATGATAACTAGTGTCACAGATCATGCACATCCTTATCTTGCTCTTGATGTTAGTAATAAGTGCCTCCAATTTTTTTTTGTTTTGTTTTTGAGACAGGGTCTCACTATGTAGCCAAGGCTGGCCTTGAACTCCTGGCAATCTTCCTGCCCCAGCCTCCTGAGTGCTGGGATTACAGGCGTGCACCACCACACCAGGCAGTACTACTTCTTTAAACATGATGCTGACTAGGACTAAGCATATCTATTTTATTGACATAGCATTAATTATAATCATAATGCTGTATTGAGACTCTATTTGTTGATATTGAAGGAGAAAGTATCTTTCAACTCCCATTTCCTGGAGTGCTTTCTGCAGAAATGGCCCTTATCTTCTCGAAGAGGTCTGTGACTTGCTAGAAGATTAAGAAACACCACTACACTGAGTCCCTAAAAGCAGTAGGAAAATGAAACATGAACTACAATACTATTTTAAAATAAATGTGATTTTTAGTGTTGTACAATTTTTAAATTCCATGTTCACTCTAAAATGAAAATGCCTGTATAAAAATTTAAGAATCATTCCATTCTAATCTTTCCTACTGTGTTTATATACAGATGCTCTTCGAGGGGTTATCACCTAATAATCTCACCCTAAAATCAAAGTGTACACTGAATGATATTCAATATGCTTGACACATCACACATCCCAGCTTAGTAACCCGGTACTCTTGAGAGTCTCAGTCGCTTCCCCTGGTGATCAGGTGGCCGGCTGGAACCTATACCTCACTGCCCAGCATCTCTAGGGAAGGTCCCAGCACAGACACTAGCCCAGGAAAAGATCAAAATTCAAGATCCAAAGTATAACCAGGTATAGCGGCACATGTCTGTTATTCCAGCACTCAGGAGGCTGAGGCAGGAAAATCACCACATTCAAGGCCAGCCTGTGTTACATAGTGAGTTTAAGGCCAGTCTGAACTACAAAGGGAGACCTTGTCTCAAAAAAAAAAAAAAAAAAAAGCCAGGGATTTAGCTCAGTGGTGCCACTGCCTGCCTCGCAAGTGCAAGGACCTGAGTTCGATCCCCGATACCAAAAAACAAAAACAAAAAAAGAACAAAACAAAGTATGTATGTGTTGCTTTTACCCAATCACAAAGTTAAACATCATAAGTTTAAGTTGAAACATCATAAGTCAAGGATCATCTATGCTTTAAATACTAAGAAATTACTACATTCAACATGTGTCTTACATTCTTCAGGCTGGACAGAAGAATAACTCCCAAGATTTAATAACTGACTGGTAAATGTCGACTGAAGTACTGTCTCACCAACCCACTGATCCTCATGAACAGTAACATCTAGAGAGGAAATAAAAAAGTTATTTTCTTGCCATAAATTCCTTCTCACTGTGAGTAATTTAGCAATTACTTAGCAAAATGTTACCCATAATCCCCACATGCCATAGTGAAATGACAACATGGAAGCTCACTATTCTACTGAGACAGTTTTAAAGGTGTCTACTTACATAAGGCAAGGAAGTGCTCTAATGAACATTTCAGATAAATTAAAAATAAGTCTTTTAAGATCAGGAAGCAAAGTAGTGATCTCAAAGCAATAGTGCTTAGAAGAGTAGTAACACTAAGAATGTACTGGTTCCTTCTACTATGGATATATCTGAATATAATATGAGGTAATCTTTAAAGAATGTAATATTTTTCCTTAAATGGTATGGTATTCATCTTCTATAGATATTAACAGTGACATACTTTGGAGTTGGGGGAACATTTTCCAATGGAAAAGAAAGAGCTATTTCATCTAAGGTGGATAAAGGAGAGTCCTTAAGTGGAAGTAAAGATTCCAACAGGTAGAAATAATCCTAGGTAGAGCAAAAACTATACATTAGGGGAGGGAGTCAGAAAGAGACAGAACATCCAGGCAGGATGTAATCAGTGTACAAAGTGTTTGTAATATAAAATATTAACAGCAGCAAAATAAGTTGGAGATAATGGGAAAGAAAAAAAAAGGATGTGTAAATTATGTAAATTACAATGATTACTTCCAAATTTGTATTTAGATGCTGTGCTCAGCTTCAAGCCCTTTTATTTACAACTACCTAATGAGCCTTCCCATCTAGATATTTTATTTGTTCCCGCAAACTCAGCATTGCCCAAACCTGCTTTCCCTCTACTTTATTCATCTCATTTGAGGAACTAAACCCTGAGCTCACATTGCCTCTCTCTGCCCACCCGTATTCCCCAGCCTCTGCTGGCTGACTGCACTGGTACCTGCCCATTGCTTGCCACTGCTACTGCTCCACATCACACAGCCCCCTCCCAATGGTCCCCTGGCCCCTCCATTTGATGCCCCACAGTGCTAAGCACACTTATCAGGATCATCAGTGAGATCAAATTACTGTCTTAAAGAAAACTCAGTGGCTCCCTACTGCCTAATCAGAAAGAGCTAGCACAACTTTAAGACTTCACTGTGCTTCAGATGCAGCTCAAAGGTACTTTCCTAGCATGTGTGAACCCCTGGGTTCCATCCCAGTACAGAGAAAAAGAAACTTTTCATCATCTGACTCTCAGAATGTCTGCTTTTAAGGAGTGTCGGGAGCAATGCTACATAATTTTAGGGTAAAATCATTTGGTTAGCCTAGTTCTCCTGCCTACAGCCCAGCTA